TGGGGACTGTTCCAGAATCCAAGGAATTTTGGAAGATCATCCACAAGGCCTCCACTATCTCATAAGCTCCTCTTTTAAAACCCTGGGATGCAAACCATCCGGACCAGGGGATTTGTCACTTTTTAGTGCTAACAGTTTCCCGAGTACCAATTCTCTACTAATGAAAATTTCCCTAAGTTGTTCCCTGTCCTTATCCCTTTGGTGCATCACTATTGTTGGTAGACTTGTTGTGTCTTCTCGGGTGAAGACAGATGCAAAGTACCCATTTAGGGACTCTGCCATATCCTTATCCCCCATTACAACTTCTCCCGTCTCTGACTGAAGTGGACTTACATTTACCCTCACAGCCTATTCCTCTTAATGTATTTGTAAAAACTTTTACAATCTGTGTATTTGTAAAAACTTTTTTTTCCTTTTTCAGTTCTCTTCTGTACTTCCAATATTCTATTTGGTTGTCTTCTGTGTCTTGGGTTTGACATTTGTCATACGCCTCCTTTTTCTGCTTCATTCTAGACACAATTACCTTTGTCATCCGGGGAGGTTTGGATGCCCTACTTTTCCCTTTTGTGGGAATGTATTTGTTCTGTCCCCGAGCTATCTCATTCTTGAAGACTTCCCACTGCTCCCTAGTTGCTTTACCTGCCAATCTTATTTTCCAATCCACCATGGCGAGGTCCCTTTTTAACTCACTGAAATTAGTCCTCTCCTGCACCAAACCCCTCTCCCCGATCACCCCAGTTTTTGCCAGACTGCACTGGCTGCCTGTCCCAGAGAGGATTGACTTCAAGATCCTCATCCTTGTATTCAAATCCCTCCACTCCTCTGCACCCCCCGACCTCTCTCCTCAAAATAGTACACGTTGCCTTCGTTTCTCCGAGTCTGGCCTCCTCCTCGTACCCTGAGTTCTCCGCTCCCCTCGGCGGCCGTGCCTTCAGCCACTATGCCCCGAGGCTCTGGAATTCCCTTCCTCACTCACTTCGCCTTGCTCCCTCTCTTCCTATTTTCAGATTTCTGTTGAATACCTTTCTCTTCGACCGCGCATTTGGTCACCCTCCCTACACACCTTCGACCCTCCCATTCCTCTCCAAGACCCTGGAATGAGTTATCTCGTCCCAGTTTCGCTCTTTCCTCTCCTGCCATCCACTCTTCAATCAATCATGTTTCCGTGCTGCCCTGTCAAAGTCACTAACAACATTCTGAACATCTACGACCAGGGCTCTTGCGGCCTCCTTTTCCTCCTCAACCTCTCTGCTGCTGTGTTGACACTCAATCCTGCTACACAACAATAACAACTTGCACTTATATAGCGCCCTCCACGTAGGGTAGCGTCTCAGAGCGCTTAACAGTGGTGAAGCCTGATTTTGAGCCGGGAGGGTGAGGTGGAAGTAGTCGTAAGCACTGTCAAAGAGGAAGATATTCAGGCGGGATTTGAAAGAGGGAGGAAGAGGGAGCAAGGCAGAAGGATTGAGGGAGAGTGTTCCAGAGGTTTGGGCTGTAGTGGCTCTGATGGTGGGGCGGAGGGTATGAGGGACGAGCAGGAGCCAGGGCCAGTCGGCAGGAGCTGTGGAGGAGATGCCAGGTGGTGGATTGGAGAGTGAGGAAGTTGGAGAGGTTGCGAGGTGCCAGGGAGTGAGGGATTTGAACACGAGTGTGAGGATCTTGAAGTCGATCTGTTTGGTGATGGGGTGCCAGTGGAGCCTGGGCCAGAACTGATGAGATAGGGGTACGGCGTTGGTCGGGGTCAGTATGCGGGCGATAGAGTCTGAATGAGATGATTGGAGCTGGGGAGACCAGTGAGGAGTGCGTTGGAGGTGGGAGGTGACAAACACATGCACAAGGGTTTTGGCTGCATTTGAGGTAAGGTACAGTCAGTGGCGGGGAACGTGGCGAGGTCAGGGACCGGATGCGGGGGAGGAAGGACAGCTGGGGGTCGAACCGGACGCCTAGATTGCGCACTGGTTCGGTGAGTGAAGGAGAGCCCAGGGAGGTTGAGGAGTTGAGATCCGCAGAAGTGAAGGCATTGACGGGAGCCAAGGAGTATGGCTTCCGTCTTGTCCACATTCAGCTACAGGAAGTTTACACTCATTCAGGCTCTGATGTCTGCCAGACACGCTGCTAGAACATCAGGGACTTAGATTTGGTGCTGGAGACAAAGAAGATTTGTGTGTCACCTACAAACATGTGGAAGTTTGCCCCGTGTCTGTGGATGACATCGCCCAGAAGGAGCATATAGATAAGGAAAAGAAGGGGCTAAGGATGGAGCTCTGGGGTACCCCACAGGTGAACAGGAGGAGAAACCATTTGCCGAGATGAAGTGGAGGCGGTTGGTTAAGTAGAATTCAAACCACGCGAGTGTGATTCCCACTGAGGCAGATGAGGGAGGCGAAGTGGTGGAGGAGTGTGATGTGGTGGACTGCATCGAACATGGGAGAGATCCAGGCAGAGGGAGTCTTAGTCACAGATAAGAGAGGAGACTATGACAAGCGCTGTCTCTGTGCTGTGGTCAGTCGGGGCGAAAACCAGACCAGGGGCTCGAGGGAGTGGAGGGAGAGGTGTGACCAAAGTTGATCTGCAACAATGCGTTACAGGACTTTGGCAAGGAAGGGCAGGTTGGAGATGGGAGATTAGAGGGATCAAGGGTGTGATTTTGAGGAGGTATGTTTCAGGGAGAGTGGAACAGAGCCTGAGGAGAGAGACTGGTTGACCGTGTCAGCTAGCAGGGGGGGGGGAGAGAAAGGGGAATTGAGTGACCAGCACCTGGGTGGGGAGGGGGTCGAGGCAGCAGGGGGTAAACTTCATCTGGGTGATTGTGGTTAAGAGGGAGAAGCGAGAAATGGGGACAAAGGAGTGTAAGGAGTGGGGAGTGGCAGGAGCTGTGGCGGAGGGAGAAGATGGTGTGGATAGTCTGGGTGGGGTGGAAGGTGACATGAGGGGGAGGACGATGCAGCCAAGCAGATGAGACCCTCATACACGCATTCATAACATCCAGGCTTGATTAGCAAACTCCCTGCTTGTTGGCCTCCCCAACTCTTCCCTCGATAGGCTGCAGATCCAGAACTCTGCAGCCCGTGTTCTCTCCCGCACCAGGCTCTGCAACCCTATCACCCCATCCTCGCCTGACTCCACTGGCTTCCCATCACACAGAGGAGCCCTGTTCAAGATTCTGGACCCCACTTTCAAAGCCCTCTATAGCCTTGCTCCCCTCTATCTCTGCGACCTCCAAAACCCCTACCAACCAGATTGTGGCCTGCTTCATGTCCCCTATCTCAACCGCCCCACCATTGGCAGGCAGGCCTTCAGCTACTCTGCCCCCCCACCCCACCAGAACTCCACCCCGCAGTCCCTTCACCTTGCCTCCTTCAAGACCCTCCTCTTTGTCTGTGCCTTCCCCCCTGCCCTCCACCCTCCCAACGTGAAAGACGCTAACAAATGCAATTTTCTTGATGTTGTATTCAGCCATTCAGCTTAGTGCAAGATATAGTTTCCTTGCAGTTTGAGTGTTTTGCTGTGACTGCCATCCTAGTTGATACAGAAATCGATAAAGCATTCAATAGATTCCGTTCTATTCAGAGGTTTCTTCCAGGAACAGAAATAATTTAGTGACTGCCAGCCTCCAATCATAGAATCAAAGAATTTTACAGCGCAGGAGGCCATTCGGCCCATCGTGTCTGTACCAGCTCTTTGAAAAGAGCTTCCAAATCAACCCCTCTCCCACGCTCTCCCCAGAGCCCTGCAAACGTATCCTCCCCAAATAATTATCTACTTCTCTCTTAAAAGCTTATCAAATTCGCTGGTGGGAGATGTAGCATTAAATCCATCATTTGGTGTCAAATCTCAAGGGCGCTTGCGAGAAACCCAACAACCTCATGACTAATTACAGCCTCCTGAATACAGTGAAGCAGGGTTCAAGGCACACACAATGCCCACTTTAGATCACTTTGAAGCCCAGCAGTTTAACATGGTTGCCGAGATCCCAGGAATAGGCCATTTGCCAAATTCTGAAAAGTTATTCTCTGAATCGCAAAAGAAAACTTTTTTTTTGCTTAGACATTGAAACTATTTTAGCATTAAATTGAGGCTAAACAGCCCAGTAGCTGTGTTGTGTTTTGTACAAGTCCAAAGTAGAATAAGGCACAATTTTCATAAAATGTAAAACCACATTTATTGAATGCTCATTAAAAAATTTCCAGTTACAAATGTATGTTTACAAATGATGGAAAGAAGACTTTGTATTTGGCATGCATTCCCAGTCTGAAACTGATAAAGTCTAGCTTAGTGGGTGAAGCAGACTTCACATTCTTAGACTCAAAACTCAATAGAAGAATCAAATGCAAATCCAGGTTTTTTAAAAACCCAAACTGCGAGCCTTATAGCACCAATATTTGATTATATCCTGCTATAAGGGCAGATTTTTCAGGAAAATAACCTTTGTTAGTTATTGAAATTGATTTAAAGAATCTTTTCTTTGGAGTGATCAGCCTTTCTTGGGTCAGAACCTATTTCTAGTAACAAGGGACAATACAGACTAAATTAATCTACCTAGAATGACTATTGTACCCTCTAAATACACAGCAATTTGGTCAGAGTTCAAGTAAGTGACGATGGAAGAAATGTTCCATTTTCACAGCAACCTCTGTTGACTGTTTACAGAAATTATTTCTATATAGGTACTTAAAAAGGAAATATTTGCAGGAATATGGGGAAAGAGCATGGGGATTGGGGCTGATTGGGTATCGGCTCTTCCAACAGCCGGCACAGGCACAATGGGCAAAATGGCCTCCTCCTGTGCTGTAATATTCTATGATTTAATGGAAGCTATGAAATTTGATCCACCTTAAAAAGTGAAAGTTGAGTTTTACAGAAAGACGAGCCAAGGCCAGTGAGATCTCTTCATTTTGGCTTTAACACCAATCACTTTTCTGCAACTTTGCAACTAAATACAGCGTGGGATGCCACGGTTGGTTTTCTTTCTTAAAAAATAAAGATTGTGAAACAAAAAGATGATTGAGAAGGGAAATTAATTTAATTTTTTTGAACCAACATTCAGAATTCAATTGAAATATACACAGAAATCAAACTCATAATTGTTTTGCAGATTTTCTTCCTTTAAAAAAAGACCCCTGCAGATTCAGGCTAAAATTGATGTTTGATTTTACAAGGAAAACACCAGAAAACCTTGCAGCCGAGCCTTTAAAAGTTCCACTCAAGTCACAGGAATGAATTGTGATTTCCCCGGTAAGTTAGACGTTATCATTTCAAGAAAAACAGTCAGTTTGCACATGATTTTTGTAATATATAAAAATCATCCGTTAATCTATTGGTTAAAATGAAAATCGATATAAAAGCAAATTAAAAATGATGTTTCTCAGGCACAAAGCCTTTCTCACCAGTTCTGCTCAATGGTTCATCACCCCTAGTTACACAAACACTTACAATTCTACATCATCCCAACTGCACAAACACAGAGCTACAGAAAGGACCATTTCACTCAAATAGAATCATTGCTTCCAAACGGTCTAGTCCTCCTTCATCACTGACTGGTCCTCAGCACAAAGCTCCACTTGGGGAAATAAAGAAAGGACCATCTGAGAAACAACATTTTAGAGTTTAAATGAAATACAAGTATAATTATTTTACTATATACGTATACATGATCACAAAGTAGGGTGGGAAAAACCTTAACATTGTTAAGACTGATTGGCATTCATTTTTTCTTAAGAAACTCCAACATACAGGTACACAGAGTGTAAACCAGAATCTCCCACATGATCGCTTTTCCAATACGTTGCCTCCCAATCCCCACCCAGGTCAGTGGTTGGAGGGAATCTCACTTTTTTTTTTTAAGTGTGTTATTGCTTAAGATTTTATATATAGAGACCTCATAGTAAAGCAATGCACTGGGTTAAAGGCAGCAGTTTGAAGAACACATTCCAATTCAGGATTAATTCCCCAACATTAGAGTTGCCCGGTCGGTGCTGCACACATTTGGTCACTTTACAATTATAGGCCAGGACTAATGGTCCATCAGATACCAGCTAAGGTCACTCTGAACAGACACCTCAGACATTCCTTCAGCCACTGGTAAATTGTACTATCCTTTTCAATTCAACTTTTAAGCCAAAATTCAGTCCTGTTGTTGTGAAACTTCTTTTGAACCCTCTCATTCTCTTCAGCAAAGGTCATTCTAACAAAGCCACTAAATAAAACTTCTACTAAAATCGCAGTCAAAGCACTAAACAGGCATCAGTGATTAGCAAAAATCATAACTTCCATAAGCCACCGTCCAAATATTTCATATACCAATCAGTAAAACACAATGGCCTCAGATTGTGCTGAGACTAGCACCCAAACAGGTAAAGCTAGACATTATGTTAACAGTACAATGCTGATCTCTACAACAGTTTCAATTATGCAGAGTAGTTAGAACAAATTAACAATCTTAATATTAGGGCTCTGTGTGCAGCAATCCACAGGAATTCATCTCAAACTTCCGGTGTAATTAGTTGATTTTCACGCAAATTTGGGTCTCCGTTTTAACAACCCCCCTAAACCCTTGCAGAGACTCAGGCTAGAATGCTGCAGTGTCACAGTACGCAGTGTTTAGAACAATTTCTGTAAATTAAAACAAAAAGACACCTGAGATTTCTGTTCAGCACAAACTCTCCCATTTGTAACTCAGGAGCTTTTGCCAAGAGCGCTTTAGTCCCAATAATGCTAGCTCTGTTTGGGCACTAGGTTTACACCAATTTGGTGGAGTTTTTACAACAACCCTTTGGGTTTGAAAAACTGCAGGATAACCAAATTCTGATTAACACAGCCCCACAGAGCATCACCACAGCTAAACCTGCTGTCTGTTGAATTCTAATCCCAATTGTCACAAGGGAGCCATACAAGTACAAAAAGCTCCCCCCGTGTGTGGTAATCCCCCCACTTCTAATTTCAGGTCTCAATATAGTTTGTCAAAAGGCGATTTTAAAGCCTTTTCAGAACTCAGGTTTATGAAATGAAAACTTTTTTTGTGTTTTTTTTTTAAAAAGTACCAAAATGGATCCAACTGTTAAAAAGAAAACAAAAAAATTGTACAAAAATATTTATCAGTGGCTCTGGATAAAATAAGGAACTCAGAATTAAATTTAAAAACATCCGGCAGGAGGTTGATCACATGACGGCGCATCCACGTGACGTTGTCCTCGGATCGCCCTGAAATACAAGGTTTTATTCTGTTACTAACAAGATCCTGCTGTCAGACACTGGCTTCAATTGCATCCAGAACAGTTTAGTTAATTTGCTAATTTCAGGTAGAGGTTGTGGGCTTTGGGGATCGTGGGCTGAGGATTACCCAGCCATTGGGGTTGTGTCTGGGGGACAGTGGGTGAAGAGAAGGGGGTGGGTTGACTGTATTCCTGGTCAAACAGCTGCCAACATCTTGTACATAGAAAGGTCACTTGACCTATTTACTTATCCCAGTGGATGGAAAAGACTGAAAGAAAATATCTCTCAAATGGGAGAAAAATTCAACACAGTAACATGAAGGTTAAGGTGGGAAAGACTAGAGGATGCAGTCATTTACAACATTCAGTTAATCCTGGTAACAGAAGTCTGAACCAGGCTCAGATAAATGGGATGGAAATAACAATACAGCACCTTATCACGTCTTTGAGAAGTCTCAAAGCGCTTCACACAATATAAAGTGAATTGACTATATTTTGTGGGCGAAACGCAGCAGCCAATTGCGCTCAACAGTGTCCCACAAACAGTCATGGATTGAAATGACCAATTTAATATTATTATTTTCTTTTTGAAGGAATTATTACCCGTGGAAAAGCAATCCCCCAATTGACTAACAACCGGGTTCCAACTTACTGCTAGCTAAACAGAGGAGTGTGGAGGAAGGAAACTTGCCCAACATTTCGCCCTGCCCGGGAATCAAACCCAGGTGTCACGCTTACGAGGGGAGTGCTCTAACCACTGAGCTACAGGATTCCACTGATGGCAGATACAATCAACTAACTGCCCACAGCACAAGAGCATCTTCATATTAACTCTGGCCAGACCCCAGTGTGCTCCATGTGGGAAATGATAGACACCACACCCTCGTGCACATATGTGCACCTGCTACGAGGGGTCATCCTGCCAAGCTCAGGGTCACTGGGGCACTGCAGGGACAGCTTAAGGTCTATTACCCAAGACAATGCATTAACTGATGCCAAGCTTTATAACATGGTTCTGCTTTTTTCAGAGGCACATTCAACAAATAGAACCAGAACATATAAACGTGCGTGGTGTGTGCGGAGTGGTGGTTGGGGGCGTGTCAGGAATAGATTAGTGTGATTACTCTAAACCCCCTCAGTATCTCTCCCAGAGATGTTCACAAAGATAGACACAAAGGCTAATGCAGTGCCACTGTACCTGCTGGTGAAAGAGATCTTCATCCCCAAACTCAGCCTCTTCCTCCACATCTTCCTGATAAATCTTCCGGAGACATCTTACTGCAATTTCCTTTGAGAAAACAAATATGCAAAGCATTTAATGAGCACAAACTACTCTCTTCTTACTGCACAAATACTGAGAATGTCAGACATGTGTACGACGGTGTTGAAGACGTACTTCTCCATCAGAGTTGACGAGGATGGTCTTGATATCTTCCCCAGTGCCCCAAACCTGGTTCTTCCACAGCAGGTCAGTGGGGGGGCTGTGAGCTTTGCCAGCATCAGCACTCCAGATCTGAACAGAGAAGAAAACAACTTTTAAGAGAATGGGCATTTTCAGATTTTCCTGAGAAAATAAAATGGATGTTCAAAAGCCCTCAGTAATGATCCACATGGTTAAGTTCTGACACTACTTAAAGGTTACAATAAACACTCCCAACTGCAAGCAAACTACTCGCCAACTTGTCTTGGCCAGCCAAGTCTGATGCATTCTGAAACCCATCATCATGCTTAAGATTATCCAAACCAAACACAGTTACATGTCTCCCATGTACACATGAAAATTCCTAGGTATTGGAATGGAATTCTCACTCTCCCTGGAATTTCACATCCTGCTTAACTAATTTCAGAGATTATTAGGTGCAGTTTGGCCAGAGTCAAGGCTTGAGCACCCAAAAATGTGCGTTGGGAGTAACTGCTGGAACGTAACCAGTTAAAACTGCATAGCTTGTCACTGATATCACTATCTGGCAAGCTTTCCTACTGCTTATCCAGCTTGGACCACTTGTTAGGGCTTTGACTTACAGGGTAAACCAGAGCTGACTCCCTGTCCCCAGTGACTGGTTGCCCTTCCAAAGCCTACCGATGAGCCAGGCTGGCTGGGCAGTGTCCTGGAGTGCAGATTGATCTGGAGGTTATTCCATTCCTGATGATAGATTTCAGTAATTTGCTCATGACTAGCAAGAAATTCAAGCTGTTGCAATGTTCAGGATAGACTCTCACATGAGCTGCACTCAGACATACCTTGACTTCCTGTCCAGCCTTCAGAGTGTACTTGGGAGTGAACTTGTACACAATTTCCTCTCCATCCCCAATCTGCCTCTTCAGTCTCCAGGATCCCAGTGGCTGATCCTGTAAGTGAGAGAGCAACAGTGGATTACACCCACTAAACTGCCATAACTCCCAGAGATATAGAGCAGGGAGCTCTGAGGGCCACCCTGTCAGAACTCATACAAACAATTGGTGAGGTACCAAAAGGCGGCCAGCGTCTGTGGAACTGTACATCTCACAGCTTCCTCCACCCACAGCCCCTGCCTCAGAGCCCTCTCTGCCCCCCACCACCCTGGGGCACTCCCTGACACAACTGTAAACTGGCAATTAGTTCGGGCTTTTCTCGTCTCCTCCCACAGAGATTCAGATGCTGTGGCAGAGGGTGTAGACGAACATTCAGAACACAGACTTGCCTTCTCAGAATTGTTCTTGAGGCCAACAAACTTCCCCTCCAGGTCAGTTGGCTCAATGCTGATCAATCCCTTGGTTGAATGGGTCTGTTGGATGTTACTGCTCCTGGTCTCTCTGCTCCCCTCCTGTCCCACTCGCTTTCTCTTTGTGCGGGAGGTGTGCACCGCTCGGCTGGATGTGGCACGAGACACAGTCACCCGTGAAGAGTGGCTGGGAGATAGCTTCAACCTGGTAACAAACAGTCATGGACTTCATTAACGAGCAGTAAACATGAAGCCTCATTGAACTGGATATGAGATGTTCACAAACCACACCAATAAATAAGTTTCAAACCAATCATATTCCAAGCACATTTAAAGCAGTAAACATAATTGCTCCCCATTCTGCAACACACAAGTTCAAAATCCTCCCTCCACTGACTCGCCCACCTCTGACCTTCTTCAATCCTACCAACCCAGTCCAGTCTCTCTCTCCCAAACCTCTCCCTCCCTTTCAAACATGACTCACTGACTTTGTGTTTGGCCAGCTTTCCCCTCCCCAACCCCTCGCTCCCAACCCCAGCTCAGCTGCCTATCTAGCACTGTGACATGTTTGAAACATTCTCCCAACGTAAAAGGTGCTTATAATAAAAGTATCGTGGAGTCCTGTAGCTCAGTGGTTAGAGCACTCGCTCTGCAAGTGAGAGACCTGAGTTCAATTCCCGGCAGAGGGCGAAACCTTGGGCAAGTTTCCTTACTCCACACAGAGCCTAATAATAATCCCTCCAAAACAAAACAATAATAAATTGGTAATTTTCAATCTACGACTGTTTGTGGGACATTGCTGTGCGCAATTGGCTGCCGCGTTCGCCCACAAATATACAGTCAATTCACTTTACAGTGTGTTCTGTGAAGCGCTTTGGGACGTCCTCCCGACGTGAAAAGCGCTATATCAAATGCAAGGATTCTTCTTATTATTATTAAATGTACAATAACTGCACTTTAACACCAACTTGTGAAACAGTGCTGCTCCAACCAGGGTCACCCGTTACATGCAGCCATTGTTACTGCTACCTGCATGAAGGCTGCCATACAAATGTAAGCTGTTGTTATTGTACGTGGCTGGTTGTAGGTGGAGAAACAACAACTTGCATTTACATAGCCCCTCACGCAGGGTAGTGTCCCAGAGCTCTTGCTTGACAATGGTGGAGCACGACCCCGAGCCGGGGGCAGTGACCATGGGCATCATCGAATAGGAAGGCGTTCAGGCGCTACCTGAAGATGGGGAAAGAAGGGGCAAGGCCGACGGATAGAGCAAGTTTTCCAGAGTTTAAATCGGATATTTTTCAACAATTACGAATCCCAAGTGTGAACCAACCTCTCCTCCTCTCCCTCCAGCAGCTTGCGGTAGGCGTTGATCTCCATATCAAGGGCCAATTTAACATCCAGGAGGTCCTCGTACTCTTCTAGCTGCTGCTCCATCCGGTCCCTCAACTCCGCCATCTCCCGGTCTCGGCCCTCTAGCATCTTGCGGTATTTATCCCGATCATTGGAAAGCATTTCCTCCAACTCCCTGACTCGAGCTTCTGAAGCGGTAGCCTGCAAGTGAGGGGAGTCATGTCAAACCTCTGGGCTTTCTTCTTCCACAATTCATTATATTTAGAACAGCAATTCTCCACCAGCAACAATACAGCATGTGGCAAAATATTGCAGATGCTTAAAATCTATACAATAAAGTCAAAATGTCTGTCTGTCTGCCCAAGAACGCAATTAACAATTGACGTAGAGACATGATTTATACCTCATCGGAAAGGTCTTGCATGGGGAAGTATCATGGGCATATTTTTTAAACAAGCTCATCACACACGTCTGGCAGTTTTGGTTAAGGTGTACACACACAGTGATTATGGAATGTTAAATGGCTTGTGAGTGGGTATCACTGAAATCTACATTCCACATTGGATCCTTTGGTTGCAAGCGTACAATGGGTACAATGTCTGAAATAAAATCGCTGGGAATACTCAGCAGGTCAGGCAGCAACTATGGAGAGAGGAAAGCGACTTCAAACGTTAACTTTCTCCATAGATGCTTCCTGACCTGCTCATTGTTCCCAGAGACTTCTGTTTTTATAACAGTACTGCACCTGAATGGTATGTTGGAGGGAGAAAAGACATACAAATGAATAAAATGACAGCAACACTTTCACTAAACATTATGTGCATGCTGCACTGTTTAGTGCCCAATTGCAGTAGGTAAGAGGCTTGGCTCTAAAGTTTCAAACATTAGAGCAGGTGCCCCACTAAGAGATCTCACTTAGATTGTGGAGCTTTAGGTGTTAAGGAATGTGCTATCATAGAATCATAGAATATTACGGCACAGAAGGAGGCCATTCAGCCCATCGAGTCTGTGCGGCTCTTTTAACAGAGCAACTAACTTTTATTAACCCCACTCACCAGCTTTCTCCCCATAACCCAGCAAACCTGTCTTCCCCAGATACCTATCCAGTTCTCTCTTAAAAGCTGTTATCGAATCGGACTTCACTGCCCTTTCAGGCAGATCATTCCAAATTCTAACAACTCGCTGAGTGAATAAATTTCTTCTAACCTCCCCTTTGCTTCTTTTGGTAGATATCTTAAGACTGTGACCGCGGGTCACAGACACACCTACCAGCGGAAACAGCTTTTCCTTATCTCGCCTGTCGAAACCTTTCATGATCTTGAAGACCTCTATCAGGTCCCCGTGTAACCTTCTCTGCTCTAATGGGAAAAGTCCTACCTCCTCCAGCCTCTCCTCATAGCTAAGGTTTCCCATTCCTGGTATCATTCTCGTGAATCTCCTCTGCACCCTTTCCAGTGCCTTAATGTCCTTCCTGAGGTAAGGTGCCCAGAACTGGACGCAGTACTCCAGCTGAGGACTAACCAGTGTTTTGTACAGATTAAGTATAACCTCCCTACTCTTATACTCTATGCCCCTACTAATGAAGCTCAGTACACCAAATGCCCTTTTTACTGCCCTATCTACCTGCTCTGCCACCTTCAATGAATCGCTTACTTGAACACCCAGATCTTTCTGTACGTTCACCCCCACTTAAGATTGAGCTACCAAGTCTGTATTGCCTCCTATCATTTTTCCTACCTAAGTGTATCACCTTGCACTTATCTACATTGAAATCCATCTGCCACATGTCAGCCCATTCCACCATTCTGTGTATGTCTGCCTGCACTCCGTCACAATCTTCTTCACTATTTACTACCCTACCTAACTTCCTCACCTACAAGGCCATTCACGGCCTTGCTCCCTCCTACCTCTCCGACCTACTATGTGGAGTCCTGTAGCTCAGTGGTTAGAGCACTCGCTTTGCAAGTGAGAGACCTGAGTTCAATTCCAGGCAGGGCGAAACCTTGGGCAAGTTTCCTTACTCCACACGCCTAATAATAATCCCTCCAAAACAAAACAATAATTAAATTGGTCATTTTCAATCTATGACTGTTTGTGGGACATTGCTGTGCGCAATTGGCTGCCGCGTTCGCCCACAAATATACAGTCAACTCACTTTACAGTATATTCTGTGAAGCGCTTTGGGACGTCCTCCCGACGTGAAAAGCGCTATATCAAATGCAAGGATTATTATTATTATTATTATTATTACTATCCCCCTACCTACCTGCCCGTACCCTCGGTTCCTCTGGCTCCGGTCTGCTTCACATCCCCCACCCCAACCGCCCTACCATCGGTGGCCAGGCCTTCAGCCTCTCAGCCCCGAGGCTCTGGAACTCCATCCCCCAGTGCCTTCGCCGCTTCCTCCCTTTCCTCCATCAAGGCCGGTCTCAAGACCTTTCTCTTTGACTGTGCCTTCAGCTCCCCTCTTGACTCTCTACCCCCTCCTCGCTCCCTCCCTTCCCTCCCCTCACCCTGACCATTTCCCCCCTGCTCGGGTCCTGACCCAACTGTACAGGGCCTTGGGACGTCCTCCCGACGTGAAAGGCGCTCAATAAATGGAATCTTGTTGTTGTTGCTATCATCTGCAAACTTGGAAATAGTGCTCTCTCTGCCCAAGTCCAGATCATTAATATATATTAGAAAGAGCAGTGGTCCCAATACCGATCCCAACCTTGGGGGACACCGCTGCAAACCTCCTTCCACTGCGAGAAACACCCATTAACCACCACCCTCTGCATTCTGTCACTCAGTCAGTTCCTAATCCAAACGGCTACTGTCCCCTTAATACCGTGGGCCTCCAGTTTTTTTATTAACCTCTTATGTGGTACTGTGTCAAAAGCCTTTTTAAAATCCACATAAATAATGTCCACTGCATTTCCCTCATCAACCCTCGCAGTCACCTCTTCAAAAATTCTATTAGATTTGTTAGGCAAGATTTGCCTTTAACAAATCCATGTTGGCTGTCTCTAATTACCTCGTGTTTCTCTAAGTAGAGATTTATTCTGTCCCAGATTACGGTCTCCAGTAGCTTTCCTATTACCGAAGTTAGGCTGACTGGTCTGTAATTTCCAGGTTTGTCTTTCTGCCCCTTTTTGTAGAGTGGGGTAACATTAGCTACTCTCCAGTCTCTTGGCACCACTCCTGCGTCCAATGACGATTGAAATACAATGGCCAAAGCCTCCGCTATTTGAACCCGTATCTCCCACAGCAACCTTGGGTGAAACCCATCTGGTCCTGGTGACTTATCAGAAGTAGTTTATTTGCTTGGAAGCTCTACCAGTAATTATTTAATCTCCTGAGAACACAATGCTGTAAATTGCATGTCGTCTCTTGGAAGCACTAAAAAATGGCCACATCTCCTTCCGGCATTTATTTCAATACACAAATCTCCTGATAACTACCTGACTTGCTAAAAATGTGAAACCCTGCCCATATTCTCATCTACTCCAAATGTTTTAGGTTGAATGAAGTATAATTCAATCCATGGCTGTTTGTGGGACGCTGCTGTGCACAACTGACTGCCATGCCTCACCCACAAAATATACAGTCACTTCACTTTACAGTATATTCTGTGAAGCGCTTTGAGACGGCTCGAAGATGTGATAAAATGAATTATCAAATGCAAGGATTATTATATTATAATAATGAATGGGCTCTTCTTGAATGGAACAAAACCATCTGCACAATTATACCCAACACCTTACCAGCAACAGCCCTAATGTTGTTTACCTGCTTCTGCAGGGTTGAGAGCTGATAGCTGAGACTCTCAATCCTAACGCGTGCCTCCTGCAGCTCCTCCCGGGCAGTGCCAACAGCCTTGTCGTTTCTATCAGATGCGATCTTGGCATTTTCCAGCTGTAAAACACAAACTTTTTTTTAAGGTCGGCCAGGTGTCGGACACATGCAGACACCCATGTCAACAACAACAAAATTACATTTGTATAGCGCCTTTCACGTCGGGAGGACGTCCCAAACCAACCACGGTTTCATGCACCCCACCTAGACATGGAAATTCCACAGGTATTTATTGTATTGGAATGCTCACTCTCTCCCTCATTTGACATCCAATAAGCACTGGTGTGAGTCCTCACTAGGTAAGTGGCAGGTAACAGGAACTCCCTGGGAGCTTCCTAATAAGCAACACAGCTCAGCTGAATGAGAGAACTGCTACTATCACCATGCCCACAGCTCACATACACATCCCTTTCCATGGAGCGATGATTCCACCAGTTGAAAGTGCGGAGTTTAAGCAGCAGCTACTCTGCAAACCAATCAAGGTGGATTCCAGGCACTAGACCATGTACAAATGTGGGCTCAAAAACTCACCATGTAACACCTTCCAGCTGCTGTCACTCCAAGTTTCAGAGTTTCCTCATAAGCTATTTTATAGACATGTGCCTTCAGCGTGGTGGGGCCCAGCTGCAGGCCAGGGTGGGGCCTGTAAGCTATGTTGATATTCTCACGATCCAATGATGTGTACCCAGGCTTACTCAGTACCAACTGCTCAATCCAGGTCCTCATGTCATGCATGTTTGGCAAATAGGCATGCCCGCTGTGAAGTAAACTCCACCTCCGGGGATCTCAGTGTCAGGTCAGTGTAGGCCAGAGCCCTCCCTCCCTCCCTGCAGCCGCTTCCCATTTTTGCCACAAATCTACCTCATTGCTTGTCTTGGACTTTGCAAATGGGCTGAAGGAAGCCTTGCTGCTGCATCTCCAGGGGCTCAGAAGCACATAAGTCTGCTCTGCATTGGGACCTTGTCATTCTTGACAAGGGATGAGCCTGACCAGAGTGCCCTTCGCCACTTCTCTGCGCAATCCTTCAGGTCAGTGTCTAGACAAATGTTGGGTGTCCACCACAACCCCCAGGTACTGACCGATAAGAATCAACAATTGGGACTAACGCCCTGCATTCAATACCCTTGATATCTTCTCTTGAGCCAAGTGCAAAGCAAGCTGAAGACTGAAACTAAAACTAGTCAAAACTTTAAACATGCGCTTAAGCAAGAGTTAAGATGTTAACTTTACAAACCTAACCTCTGTGCTAGTATCAGTCTGACCAATAGTTCAGCAAAGCAAAGCAGTCACTGCAGCAGTGGTTACCTTGGCCTGGAAGGTCTGTTCCAAATCGTCCTTGTACTGTTTGACCTGCTCCTCGTGCTGCTTCCTCAGGTCTTGCAGAGCTTCTGTCAGTTTGGAATCATAGTCGATCTGCCGGCCGGTGTCCACTTCCACCACACGCCGCTCGTGCCGTTTCCTAGTCTCACGGACTTCCTGCAAAACACCAAATGTTCCTAGATGAGGAATTATACCATGAGAGTCCATCCTCAGACTTATAAAGTGCAGAGGAAAGGCACTGGACAGGATCCATTACTTTCAATATAAATCTCCAAACAACAACAACTTGCATTCATACAGCAGCCTTCACGTGGGGTAACATCTTGGAGCGCTTCAACTCTAGCGGCATAGTGTGGAACAGCCATGGAGAGCAGACAATGAAACGAGAGATAGCAGCTTTACACTAAAAGGGTTGGTTATACACCATTACAGAATTATTTACTAATAAAGCTTCTGTCCTCAAAAAAATTAACCCTAACCCTACAGTGAACAGAAGAAAATGGTATAGTTTAAATACAAATACTAAGAATTTTTTTTAAAAAGTGAAAAAACAAAGCTTAAATTATATGAAAATTCCTTACGAGTTACTGAGATAACTGTTCCCTCATTGTACACCGCTATAGAAATATTAATATTTCGTATTTCTACTGGAAAATCAGATTTTCAAAACATTTTTCTCATTGTGGGATTGAACATGCAGCTATCAGAGCTGGTGCGAACTCAATGGCCTCCTCCTGTGTTGAACATTTCTACAATTCTATAATTGTACCAACATCAGTTAGTAGCTGAAGAGATTCTCTGTAGTGAAATAACACAACTACACACCTCTTCAAACACATTTTTCCTGAAAGTCAGCTCCTCGGTCAGACTTTGACACTGGTTTTCAAGGTCAACTCGCAGCAAAGTTTCTTTCTCCAGCTGCTTTTTGGCAGCAGCTAGCGAACTTTCAGCCTAGAAATGAGATTTAAAAATATTAAATTGGAGTCACTCATCTGCTCAAAACTCCTAGTCAATCTATTTCAGGGTGGTCCAACTAGCAGCTGATTTCTTCCGACCCCCTCAATTTCAACTGGCCACCCGCTCCCTCCATAACCCGTGAATGTTATGTTTCTAGAAGGGAAACACAAGAATATTGTTTATGTAACCCATGGAAGTTTCTCAAATCAAGCATCCGACCCTCAGCAGAAAAAGGTTGGACCCCCTGATCTATTTCGTCAGAAAGAGTCCACACATTTCAGAATCAAACGTATATTTCAGAGTAAAACAAAAGACAAATGTCACTGTTGTGCTGCCCGTTAGTTTCCCGTCTGAGCAGTTGTACCTTAGCAAGCTGTGCTCGCAGATCAGCAACCTGTGCCTCCAGGCTTCGCTTTTCAGCGAGTGCGGTGTTGAGTGCAGCCTCATTTTTATGATACGTTGCTTCAAATTCTTTCAACCGAGTCTGAGTTGTAATCAAGTCACTCTCTTTCTTCTTGTAACTGTAAAAGTAAGAAAGGCAGATCTCACAATACCATTCTGACAGACAATATCTAAGCACTTTTTAAAAATTGGCTCCAATTGATTAGATCACAGAAAACTGAAACCGCCAAGTAGATTCAAATACTTGGAACCTTGAGCCTATTCTGCCATTCTATGTCAGCTCTGGTAAAGCGTCATGGACCCGAAACGTTGATCCACTTTCCTTTCTCCGTAGATGCTGCCTGACCTGCTGAGTGTTCACAGCTATCTCTGTTTTAGTTCCTGTATTAAACATTCTGGTCACGCTTTGGGACACGACCCCGCTTAAAGGGTGCAATTAAATTAAAGGCAAGTTATTGTTTATTCAACTTGAAACTTAAAAAGACTGATCTAAAATGCTTCCAGTCTAGCCTGATGCATCACACCAGAAATTCAGAAAAGCTGCATAAGGGACTAAAAAAGTACAATTTTAAAAAATTAAATTCACAACTCCTAAATAATAATAATAATAATAATCCTTGCATTTGATATAGCGCTTTTTCACGTCGGGAGGACGTCCCAAAGCGCTTCACAGAACACACTGTAAAGTGAATTGACTGTATATTTGTGGGCGAACGCGGCAGCCAATTGCGCACAGCAATGTCCCACAAACAGTCCTAGATTGAAAATGACCCATTTATTATTGCTTTTGGTTTTGGAGGATTATTATTAGGCTCTGTGTGGAGTAAGGAAACTTGCCCAAGGTTTTGCCCTCTGCCTGGAATTGAACTCAGGTCTCTCGCTTGCAAAGCGAGTGCTCTAACCACTGAGCTACAGGACTTAAGCACTACCTCTTCTAATCATAGAATTATACAGCACAGAAGGAGGCCATTCTGCCCGTCATGCCTGTGCCTATCTTTGAAAAGAGCTATCCAATTCAATTCCACTCCACCGCTCCTCCCCATAGCTCTGCAAACTTGTTCTCCCCAAATAATTATCTACTTCTCTCTTAAAAGTTATTGAATCAGCTTCCACCAGCCTTTCAGGCAATGCATTCCAGATCCCAACAACTCGCTGTGTGAAAACATTTCTCCTCCCCTCTGTTTTTTTTAACAACTATTTTAAATCGGTGTCCTTGGGTTACCGACCCACCTGCCAGTGGAGATAGTTTCTCCTTGTTCACCCTATCGAATCCCCTCATAATTTGAAAAACTTCTAATAGGTCTCCTCTTAACCTTCTCTGCTCCAAGAAGAATAATCCTAGCTTCTCTAGCCTCTCCTGATAAGTCAAGTTGAGTTGATTCCATGTCCATCAAAGGCGTGGAAACAAGGGACAACTTAATGCAGAATTCTACGGTGTTGCAGGTATATTGACCCATTCACCCAAAATACAGATTCTTCCACAATATAGTCAAATCCAGTTTACAATATATTCTGTGAAGCATTTTGAGACATCGAACACATGATAAGACGCTAGATCATATGCAAGAATTCTTATTAGTAAAATTATATTATACACATATTTTGGTGTTACATATAAGTTATATATATATAATATGCCTGCAAGCACTGCTGGAAGGGGTCAGCTATATACATAGATATATATATATTAGATATGTGTGTAGCTGACCCCTTCCAGCAGTGCTTGCAGGCCTCTAATAAATCATTGCTATCCAAAATCTCTAATTATCAGTTGACTCTGGCTATTAGTGCTGGTGTGAACCTCATTTGAAAATGACTCTCCGTTATCATTGTAATTTGCTGAGATCCTGTTTAAAGCCCTCTTCCTGTCCAGGATGGGGGTTGGGGGGGCTTTGGGAAAAGTGCATTTTTATTGCTGGCTTGACAGGTTTATTATGGCAAGCAAAGATTGTATTCATTTTGAAATCCCAAGTCCTAACGAGTCTAACCTACATTGTTTAAAGTGCTGCACTAATAATAGTAATAATAATCCTTGCATTTGGTATAGTGCCTTTTGATGTCAGAAGGATATATCAAAGTGCTTCATAGGAATTACTGTGAAAATGGAGTGACTGTATATTTGTAAGCACTAGCTGGTAAAAACATTAATGCTGGATTTAATGAAATTGCAGGGTTTTTATTCTGACTCTCGTATAGGGGAGGATCATCAACTTAACTAGACTTGTAGCTCAGTGGTTAGAGCACTCGTCTCACAAGCAACAACAACAACAAGATTCCATTTATAGAGCACATTTCACGACAGGAGGACGTCCCAAGGCGCTGTACAGTTGGGTCAGGACCCGAGCAGGGTGAGGGGAGGGAGCGAGAAGAGGGTAGAGAGTCGAGAGGAGAGCTGAAGGCACGGTCAAAGAGAAAGGTCTTGAGACCGGCCTTGAAGGAGGAGAGGGAGGAAGCGGCGAAGGCACTGGGGGTAGAGTTCCAAAGCCTCGGGGCTGAGAGGCTGAAGGCCCGGCCACCGATGGTAGGGCGGTTGGGGTGGGGGATGTGGAGCAGACCGGAGCCAGAGGAACGGAGGGTACGGGCAGGTAAGTAGGGGGATAGTAGGTCGGAGAGGTAGGAGGGAGTGAGGCCGTGAATGGCCTTGTAGGTGAGGATGAGGATCTTGAAATCAATCCTCTGGGGGATGGGGAGCCAGTGGAGGCGAGCGAGGGTGAGGGCGAGGGTGGGAGTGATGTGGTCGCGGTGTCTGGTGCGGGACAGTACACGAGCTGCAGAGTTCTGAATGACCTGCAGTGTGGAGGGAGGGCCGGGAAGGCCAGCGAGGAGAGAGTTCCCATAGTCCAGCCTTGAGGTGACAAAGGCGTGGATCTGGGTTCGATTACCGACAGGGCAAAACGTTGGGCAAGTTTCCTTACTCCACACGCCTAATAGTAATCCTGCAAATAAAATTTTTTAAAAATTGGTCACTTTGATCTACGACACTTTGTAGGAATCTGCTGTGCGCAATTGGCTGCCACATTTCGCTCACAAATATACAGTCAATTCACTTTACAGTATATCCTGTGAAGCGCTTTGAGACGTTTAGAAGATGTGAAAAAGCGCTATATCAAATGCAAGGATTATTATTGTTATAAAGTCCCTCATTCCTGGTACCATCCTGGTCAATCTCCTTTGCACCCTCTCCAATGCCTTGACATCCTTCCTAAAGTGTGGGGCCCAGAACTGAACAGAGTGTATAGCTGAGGCCTCACCAGTGTTTTATATAAAGGTTCATCATAACTTCCTGACTTTTGTATTCTATGCCCCTATTTATAAAGCCTGGAATCCCGGATGCTTTTTTTAAAACAGCTTTATCTGCCTGCTTGCCATCTTCAAACATTTACCTTATGAATCCCCAGGTCTCTCTGTTCCTTCACCCCCTTTACGACTGTACCATCCAGTTCCAGTAGATGGCACAACAGCACAATTTACAGAATTGAGGCAGTAACGCTAGTGATGATCACTCGATTACGAGCGGTAGCAATCTGTATTGTTGCAGTAACTATATTTAAAAAGACCCACCTGAAGTACTGTACCAAAAAAGGCAAATATGGGCTGTAGCAAAGATTGCCTGAAAAACTGTTCTCAAACAGCAGGAGGTGTTTTGCTCACAAAATATAGTCAATTCACTTTATAGTATATTCTGTGAAGCGCTTTGAGACATAAGGTGCTATATCAAATGCAAGGATTATTATTGTTATATTATAGGAGGTGGTTTATCGTCGGAAAGCTACTGAGGTGCGTAATAGCTTTAACACCCAGGTAACCGGTTTGAGAGCTGTTCGAATGGAATATTCCTTTTTACAATTTAGTATTGTCAAATCTGAAACGGAAAATCCAGATGTAACAGTAACAGAACAGGCTTTAAATGGGACATCACTAAGAGAGGTAGATGAGCAATGGGATCCAGGGGTCCTTAAATATCTAAACAACACTAGATAATGGACCTCTGTTGAAGGGAACCGAAACAAGGGAATAATCTTTAAATCAGAGCCAAGTCAGTTAAGAAGCGAGCCCAGAAAAAAAACTTCACACAGAATTATGAAAATGTACAATACAGAAGGTTGAGAGGCAGAATTAATCAGGATCCCTCAATTGAGATAGATACTTGTGAGGTACGGGTATGCAGGAAAGCGATGTAAATGGGTTCTATTCCGTTGTAATTGTTCAAACAGTTTGGATGGACTGAATTGCCTTATCCTGTTTTAATGCATCAGGTCTACACCCACCATTTCCCCATTTACTAAGCTGATCGCAATCATTTCAGTTTGGGCAGCAGCCATATAGAGGCGAGGCACTTTCCCACCGGAAGAGGGAGGTGAAACCAAAACAAGAATGATATCCTTACTCCACTTAAGTTTTGCAAATTTAACAGAGCACTTTTGTTTGCTCTATGTGCTAAGCCTTATGAGCAATCCCTAGTTTCCCCATCAAAAACTGAAAACAACAACAAGATTCCATTTATAGAGCGCCTTTCACGTCGGGAGGACGTCCCAAGGCGCTGTACAGTTGGGTCAGGACCTGAGCATTGGGGGGAAATAGTCAGGGTGAGGGGAGGGAAGGGAGGGAACGAGGAGGGGGGAAACGGTCAGGGTGAGGGGAGGGAAGGGAGGAAGCGAGGAGGGGGGAAATGGTCAGGGTGAGGGGAGGGAAGGGAGGGAGCGAGGAGGGGGTAGAGAGTCGAGAGGGGAGCTGAAGGCACGGTCAAAGAGAAAGGTCTTGAGACCGGCCTTGAAGGAGGAAAGGGAGGAGGCAAAGCGAAGGCCCTGGGGGATAGAGTTCCAGAGCCAAGGGGTCAAGACTAATTAATCAATTAATTAATCAATCAAGATTCATCAGTTATCTATTGCAACAGTTTCCACAGTGTACCTTCAACAAAATAATAATCCTTGTATTTGATCTAACACCTTTCACATCAGGAGGATGTCCCAAAGTGTTTCACAGGATTTACTATATTGTATTTTACAAGCAAACACAGCAGTCAGTTTTGACACAGGAACATTCTACAAACAACCATGGAGTGAATGTGAATTTTATTTCAGGGATAGTTGCCCAGGATACCGGGAGAAAGAAGGTGCTT